CATCCAACATTGGGAACAGGACACCCAGACACCCCTTTCCCTAACAGCTCATCCCCGATCCTCATCCAAAGTGTTCCTATCCCAGATATGGTTTACAGTCATCTATTGGGATCTGGGTGTACTGTATTCAAAGGTCTCCTACTCCATGTAGGATGGGTGGATGACCTAAACAAGGAGGGATTCTGCAATTCTTATTGCTGAACATTTGAACTCTGCCACTCTTGGCAGAAATAATATTTCAGCTGCTTGTTTCCAGGATGTTATTTTCCCAGTTATGATTTATATTTCATGACCATGTGTGAGGGCTGTAATCACAGTCCATGTCCAACTTGATCACATTTATGCAGAAGAACCCAGATATGTAAACTGCTGTTTTTAAAGACATACACAGCCTTCTCCAATCCTGATATTAAATCAGATTACGTTTTATGCCCTGCTTCTTTAATAAAAGCCATAAATATTTCTATTTCCAAAAAAACTTTTTACAAATATTCTTATATGACTTTTGATAAATTCAGTTTTTGATTTACTATTGCAGCCTTCAATGGTTTCATTCAACTTTGGTCCATTCCTCCAACCTGAACGGCTGTGACTTTAGCCCTATTTTCTTCTCAGCTCTGTCCACTAATGTCCTCTTGAACTGAGATCAAAGCTGTGTTGTAGATGTGCTTTAATGTTGTCCTTTGTTTTTTTTTTTAGCTGGTTTTGGTTATATTAATGGGGTCATTGTCCATTCTGAAGACTATTTTATACCAAAGCATGAAATTAAGCTGTTGCCTATTATGCTTATCATTATGGCCAAACTCTACCTGAGTAATTTCAGTTGTTTCATCTGTCAACAGGACTTTCTCCTAATTCTACTACAGATTTCTTGCTGTTGCAGAGTTGTTTCTCCTTTAATGTCAAATGTGGCAGCCATCTGTGTTTAATTGGCTAACGTCAAACCTGTCATGATTTTATCAAGAGCTTGGACCCACATGCAGAGAAACCAATTCAGAGAGACCAGGGGAAAGATTTAACAGGTTTTTTGAAGAGATAATGAAGAATCAAGTGTTGTTCTGAACACTGCTCAACCGGAACTGAAAAGTGAGGGGAAGACTCAGCAGTTAGTTCAGGCTCAGTAGGAAATTTGATTCTTGAACTTGAAGAGGAGAATTTGGTTGCTGACTCACTTTTCCAGGGAAGTTGTTGAATCTTTGACTCCAGTCTGTATGCTGTAGTTCCAGTTTTTGTCTGATTCGGTGGAGGGCGGACAGGGTTTACCCAGAATGCGGTTGTTGGTAGGTGAACGGAGAAGCTGACTGTCGCTCAGAATCCCTTGCTCAGTGTGAAGCTCAAACGATCTCTTGAGGAAAAGTAGATTCAAACCTCCAGTTTAAATCCTCAGCTCAGTTTGAAGCTCAGATGATCCTTCCAGGGAGAGAAGGTCCGAAACATCCAGTTTGCAGGATGACTTCCTGCCGAGAGGCAAAGATACAAAAAAAAAAGATTAAGGCTCAGGTTGACAAGAACTCAGTTTGACTCAGCAAAACTCAGCTTTGCTAGAGTACCCAAAACTCGCAAACACTCTGGCGTCGAGGTAGTGGCAGTCAGCAGCTTAAGAGCGCTCCGTTAACGAGGTAACCCTCTGCAGGTGTGTGTGGGTAGGCAGACCAGAACCAGGCGCCTCCTGGAGGAGGAAGGGAGACAAACACAGAAACACACAGACAGAAATCCTGACAAAACGAGTTGGAATTACATTAATAATAAACTCTGTGTATTTAAACCAAAATATGATGGAATCATAGGTTTCAAAAGTTAGCTTGGCCAACAAGACCAGTGGTGTCAAAAGTACACACATTTGTTACTTAAGTAGAATTATAGATACTGTAGTTTAAAAACACTCTGGTAAAAGTTGAAGGATCAACTTGACCTCTTCACTCAAGTAAAAGTGAAAAAGTATGTGTTCCAAAAATTGCTTAAAGTATAAAGTAACCTTTAACAAAAACTGCCAGATGCCACTATATGCAAGCTCAATTTTTCGACTATTTGAAAAAATTCTTTGAGATAGGGCCAAGGATGAGGGAGGTCTTGTTGGTCTCGGTCTCCATCTCCCAATACGCTCTCGCCTGTGTCCGGCCTTTCATACATTACAACATATTTTTCTGTATCCAACATTGTAGCATGTAAGAACTTTTATTTAAAGTAAATATGTTTTTGTTTCACATTCATGATTGATTCTAAACTGTTCCCTTTGACTCTGTTAGTCCAACTTTTGAAATCTGGCTCTAAACAAGACTAAGCTGACAAGACTACGGTAGTTAAAACAACACACATCATTTATTTTAGCGAAATTAAGATACCTTTTAAAAAAAGCAAAAGTGCAAAAGTACAGGTTGTTTCTTGTACTTATAGAGGCATGAAGGAGTTTTCTAATGATACTGCCACCTATGGTTGAAACACACAACTGCAGGTTCGGTAGGGGATTTTGAAATTCCCCCCCAGACATCTTTTTTAGGTATGAAAAGTAGGACATGTCCTGGATAAAAAGGACATTTGTCATCCTACCATATCAACAATTTTGATGTTTCAATGAGTGAGTGCTTGTTGCTACTATGCATCTTTGCTCAGCAGCTTTGCTCGTTGTAAGCCAACCAATCAGCACACACCTCATCTAAATATTCATGAGCATACCATAAAAGGAAGAAGACCTGTCGATTCATTCTAAGCCTTTTACGAGGCTTGCATTAAGGCTCATAGAACAGCAAATATGCCATTCTCAGGTTCTGAACCTGCGGGTTTAAAACCACCACGTCCAGAATGGGGCAGCCATTACCAGTGACCAGCTGAGAGAGCCTTTTGGACAAACTCTTCCTCTGAGCTCTGCTGTCAGGCTGACCTAAAAATAAATCATTAAAGTCATCTTTATCTCTACTCTGGTCTTTCTGCCCACCTTCTAGGAGCTCTTTAACCCCAACCTGGAAGCTAATTCTCAAACTTCTGGGGTGATTTAGGACAGGATGCTTTCACTCTGCCATCTGGCAGGCTGTGATAGGGCCCAGGAGAACAATTAACGCTGCTGACGTGGAGCCAACCATGTCCAACAGCACAGCGCAGGACCCAACACTTCTACTGCCTCCAGCATGTGAAAAAATCTGCGAGGGACAGACAGCTGACAAACCAACAACCGCTGGACGGGAGGCAGCGAGCCAAAGGAGTCGGCTGGTCCATGTTGGAGGAGCGCCAGCTGCGTCCAGAATGGATCTGTGTAAATATTAATCCAGTCAACACGGAGGGTTTAATGAGTCGAGTTGGGTTCTGTTTTTACAAATGGAGCGGCATCGAACACAAGAAGACAAAGCCAGAGGGAAACAGACATTTTACAGAAATTCAGACACATCAGGATGATTAATGTTGGACTAAAGCCATTGATATGAAGCAGAATTGATGGCCCCAGTGGCCTTTACTGAAAATGAAGTGGTAATTTAACAATCACCCACAGAAACTTTCTCTTATTTCTGTCATTTTCATTTCCATATTCCTGAGGCAGCCTGCATCATTTGTCTAAACGTCAAAGGTTTATAATCAGGTGTTGTTCATCTCCTGGTTGCTAGTAAAATAAAAAAAAAGCTGGTTCTACAGACCAAGAAGGTGATCAATTGCTTGGCTCACAAAGTTTGGCGTGTGTTCTAGATAACAAAGACAAATGGTGCTGGTAGTTTGAATTAAAAGCTAAAGTCAGTACAACTTCAGCTGATAAGGAGACTTTCTGCTCAGTCCTTTGACCCATTCAGCCGCAGTGTTCTTGTTTTGTTTTTTTAAGGCAACAACTTAGTTTTCTTTAAAATGATGTTGGGCTTGTTGCATCAGACTCAAGTTGTGCATGAATTATCAAACGCAAAACACTAACATCCACTCTGGTTCTTTTTTTTCCCCTGTAAGAACAACAAAAGGCACCACAGAAGAAGAGTTTTGGCCCCGATGGATCAGAAGAAATAAAGCATGATGTTGTTTTTAATGTTTCTCTATCTACTCTCAGCAACAGATTAATTCAGAAATGGGAATGAAGAACAAGGATGTTTTTAGTTTCAGTTTACATTCAGTGTTTATGCAAAAGGAATCAGGATTCAGGAGGTTCTCCATACTCCCTCTGACTGTGGAGGAGACTAAGATCATGTTTTTCCTGGAGGGTCATCCAAGTCCGTCTGGTTGATAGACCAGATCAATTAAGACTTTGCAGGGAGCAAAGTATTTTATCAAATAACTGATTATTAATTAATTTCTTTAATCATCCTTTTAATGTTTCTTTTGTTTTGAAGGTCAGGATTTGGCAACTATGTCACTGAAGTCCAGACACAATCTTTTTTTTTTTTTTTAAGTGAAAATGCTAAAATAAAACAAAAGTTATAATCTGCTGGTACCCAAACTGTGGTCTTGGATCAACAGGTAGGGGGTCTTGATGTTAATAATTAGTGACAAATTAAAAACAGAGGATACTTCATATGGGTAAAAGTATAGGCTATATGATAGAAACATATTTTAAAAAAACCAAAGCAAACAACTCAGAATTTCAACAAGAACAATTCAAAACACAGAATCTAAGAACTTACACATGACTGATAATAAAATCTACTGAGACAATTTCTGAATTAAATCTGACAAGGGGAAATAACTCCTGATAAGACATGAGATATCTTGTGATTTGAGACGGTTTTTTCTTATTAGATTAAAAACTTTCCATCTGATTTTTCTCTCAGTGACCTTTTTTAATTTGTCCTATTTAGTTAAGAGCTGATCCGTAGTCAGAATGCGCTGGTTTCTTTATGCGCCCTAAAGTCTGAAGTTGACCCGCAGCAGTGTTCAGCACCGCTTTGCTGCAAATTATTGGCTGCGTCTAAGGTGCGCGCGCGTGAGTGCGGTGTGCGTGAAGAGGCGTGGAGGTGTAGGGGAGTGCTGCATCCTTTCACGTGACCACTCTGCCTCCTCCTCCTCCTCCTCCTCCTCCTCATCCTCCTCATCTTCTTCAGTCCGGATCTCTTTGTTGTGTTTGCAGCTGCCGCTTCGCTCCACGCGCCGCCTTCACCGCCCCTGTGTCGCGCGAAGGACGCGCAGCCGGAGCGCCCCGGTGCTTTCAGTGAGGGTGTGACTGACAGCAGCGCCTGGCTGCTACATAGATCTGCTGCCAAAGGCGCGGAGTTTCAGTGGAGGAGGGACCTTGTAGAGAGGATGCTGCTGCCGCTGCCTCCATCCTGGCAGAACCGGACCGCCGCCGCTGAGGCTTCCTGAATCTCTCCGCTTCTTTGCGGGACGCTCAGGACCGCTGCGCCTTTTCATTGCGTTTATATAGGAATTACGCGAAAGTGTGCGCAGCTCGTGAACCCAACCAAACTGACTGCGGGGTTCGGGTCTTCTCCATGATGCTGACGGGCCCTGGGAGGTGTCGCCGGCACCCGGGCGGGGTTGTCCGGTGCCTGGTGTCCGCCTACCTGCTGTCGCTGCTGCTGCACCTGCCGGAGGCTCTGGCTTCTTATCAGCCACAGAGCGGAGAGTGCAAAGGCAAAGGGAAGGAGTGCTCAGGTAAGGCAGGCTGCATGATGCTTTTAGAGGATTCTGAGACAGAAAGGCGCAGGACCTGAGATGCTGCAGCAGGAATTAACATGATGAAGATAATATTCCCTGGGAGACTCCGCATGGCTCCTCTGGTCTCACTTTCAGCTGCAGATCACGGTGCAGTCTGCAGAGCTCTGAAAGTCAGGGTTAAACAGAGTCTTATTGACATGCATTGCTGTCCTTACTGGCCTGTTTGAGCTCCTCCTGCTCCTCCTGCTCCTCCTTACACCATAGAGGGTCTCAGTGAGGACTTGGCATGAAGTTTTTATGGCTTTGCATCTGCAGTTCATGCACCTCCAGCCTGTGCTCATGCTGAGGCTCCGGATGGTCTCCTGATCCTCTCCGCTGTCTTTGCAGGGATCAACTGCTTAAAGCGATCAGAGTCTAGTTCCTCATCTTTAAGGCCTTTATTAGGTTAAGCCTTTAAACCAAATTAGGCTTTGCTTTCTGTAATGGAAATGTTTCATTAGGGTTTCGGCCTCATGGAGAGTTTATGGAAGATGAATGTGTTTGCTTTGACTGAACAACACAGAGACAAAGGGCAGAAACAGGGAATCAGTCTGGAGGAGAACATCCTATACATGCAGAAATGCAAACATTAAACTGCAAATTTATCCCAGTAGGAACAGAAAAATCATTTACAGGTAATCCAGTAATTCACAAGCAAATGCTCTTAATGAACAGAGAAAAGGCTGACTGGGAACAATGGTTATTGTGGTAGGAATTGAAGGATATTATTGGACATCCAGTAAGAACTGCGCTGAGGTCATTTTAGGAAACCGGATTCATAACCCCCCCCCCAGGTTTTTAGTTTCAGTGTAGAGGAAGACATGTTAGCCTTTCAGTCTGAGGTATTAATAGGATTGGAGGTTTGTGTGTCCAGCTTTGTGTTTAGTTCTTAATAATATCTGCTAATCCAGTGTTGTAGTGCATGATTTATTGTTTTAACGTTACACAGATTTATTTACAGTCAATACATAACTAATGTACGCTTCATCTCAAACATGCCTGGAGAAATTTTAGAAATGTGACAGTTATGGAATGACCCATAAACATTTTGAGGTCTGCTAATCCTTTTCATTTTGACTTTGTTGCAGTGTTTTAAAACTTTTTTGTCAACGTTTGAAGCGTGCAAAAAAAAAGACTAAATTGACAGGAGGTGTTTAAAGCTTAGTGATATACTTACTACGAGTTGTTCCTCTCTTATAAATGGCGCTTAATTTTATTTGCTGCAGACACACATCATAGTGGGTCTGGTTGCCTTGCAGCATTAGAGCAGATGTACTCTATGAAGGAAGAAAAACAGATACCTTTTAATTGCACCAATAATAATAACAAAAATTATAAAAATGATACTTTTTTGTCCCAAGAGCTAGTTATATATCTGGATGCAGCAGTGGTTTAATCTAATGGACAACAGAGAGACTGTCTTCTTTTACAAAGACCAGAGGTGAGACAGAGCTTTGAATGCGCCACCTATTGACTGAGTCCAACCATGGAGACAGACGGAGAGGAAGCTTGCATGTATTTGTCAGCCTCTAAAGATTTCAGAAACAAGACTTTTATATCTTCAACACAGAAAAAAAGTAATAGTTCATATTTAATTATAATTAAGTTGATTTACTTCTTGTTTAACATGAGCTTTAAATGGGAGAGGTTTGTTGCTAAGAATATCACTATCTGAATAAGATTGACCTTTGGAAATAAAATAAAAAACGGTAGAGGGTCTATAATTTGATCATTAAAAAAATCCTTTGAATTGTCGTCCTGGAAACATATTTAATTCTAAATGACTCCACATTACATGAAACACAGACTTCCGTTTTAAGGATCGCTGCCAGGTACTCCTAATATAATCCATACTACGGTTGTCATAGCATCCTGGATCATCGCAATATAAAATTCAGAAACTCATCTCACCATCATCCCCTCCTTCTTGTTTTAATAAATATTTAAAGTAAAAAAAAAAAATCAGCTTCATGTAGATGAGTGTTAGACGACTGCTGTGTCTGGAAAACTCACCCCTGTCATGTTTATATAATAAAGGGCTGAGATGAGCTGAAATAGATTGTTTGCATTGATACGTGGAGGGTTTTTATATCAGAGGGCTCTCACATTCTGCAAATGAAAATGTTTTGAGTCACCCGAGAACCTGAACACTTGGTTTTTAATAGAAAGTGTCATGTTCACAGCCCGGCTGCCTCTATGCATGGCAGCAACCGTGCTTCACTCTGCTGAGAGTGGATGCAGGATAATAAGTGAGAGCACAGCTTTCAGAATTGTTGTTTCTCTGTAGAATCACAACCAAAAGGCTTTTGCTGTTGCTGAAAAACAGAAAATGGCTTTTGGCACCTTGGTCGAAGCAGTCGGCTGCTTGTTTGTGGTCCGCTGGGAAAACTCAGCCTTGGAGAAACATCAAGCATTTACCGCAGACTACTAATCATCACTGGAACAGTAAACAAGTTTGGAGCAAGAGGAGAATAGTTTTGTTTCTGACATCGGCAGCTGAACTGAGTTTGACTTATAGGTTTTTGCCGTTATCTGTGTCTGCAGTTACAGGGGTTCCATTATGTAGAACTTTAACCAAAAACACAAGCCCAGTTTAAGAGATATGGTGCTTGTTGTTTATGCAAATGAAAAGCCTTACAATGTTTCATGAAGCCAGATAATATTCAGTCTGCCTGATTTAAACAGGAAAATAGGAAAAATATGTATTTTTGAATCTTTTGTCCAGTAATGAGCTTGGGCTGCTGCAATATGAACCATCAGGAGACGGCTCAAACTGGTGCCAGTGCATGGCTTTATTTGAAGATTGGGTAGAATAATGGAGATTAATATGAAATACTGTTTCTGCTGTTCAACTGATAGAAATGCTTCTTCACACTTTATTAGGACTCTATTACCATGTAAAAGAGCTACCAGAATGTGTGGATGGTGATCCTCTGGGGTGCATTAGGAATGCAGTGAGGGCGGGAATCCTTAGCTCTTTTGCGGATGTCTAACACGTCTGTAAACGAGGTTAGGTTATGGTTCTCTATTATTATGGTGAAAGCAAATTAGGGTCCAAGGTGTGGGGAAACACTTGGGATTGGATTTATCATGGAGTCATGTAGTTTTAGCCCTTTGTGGGTTGGTTGTTAATATATACCTTTTTTTTAGCAAGCACTACAAATGTCGTAGCTAGGGTTGTCAAAAGTATCGATACTCAAAAAAGTATCAATACTGAAACGTTGTATCTGGATACAATACTCGTTTTTAAAAGTATCGATACAGTGCCACCACCAGTGGCACCTAAGCAGTCATTCATCTAAAGTGCAGAATAGAGGACAATGCACTTTCAGAACACTGTGTGATTGAATAATTCTGAGCACTTTTCAGTTTCAGACTTTTGTTTTGTAAGAGGTGCAGCTGCTGAGAATTATTTTTGTTTCTTAACCGGTTTGGCTAGTGTCATTGTTATGTGTGCAAAGCATAGCCAAGGAAGGAACACTTAATTTTAATTTTATAAGTTTTTTATCAAGCTTGCTTAATATTGTGCACAGTATACAACCTTTGTTTTTATTTATGGTATTTTATTTAGTAATGAAAATATTTCTGTAGGATTTTGAAGTCTTTGTTTTTATCCTTGTGGTATCGAAAATGGTATCGAGTATCGAATATTTCCCTTAGTATCGGTATCGAGTTGAAAAGTTTAGTATCGTGACAACCCTAGTCGTAGCATCATTTTTGCATTCACGCTGAAGGTTTTCAGGATTTAACAACCATTGGATAGAGTTGCTTAGCTCTGTGTTCTTTCACATTACGAAATAGTGTAACCTGATGTTTTATGAACACTTTCACCTGCAAAATAGATAATTGAGAAGATGTAAAGTTGAAATACACTTTAAGATTTGCTTTTCTGACTTATACAAGTGAGTATTATCTGCATTAAATGTTATAAATCCCTGGTTTAGACAAATTAGGTTATTGAAAAACAGAGGGCTAAGGTGTAAACCTTGTGGTACACCATATTCTAGTTGAGCTACTAAAGTCAAACTTTCATCCAGAAAAAGTTCTAGAGGGTTTGTGATATTTTATGCTTGCCTAATAGTAAACTCTTATATTTTTTTTTCTCTAAAATTGAATAATCTTTTCTTCATGATGTTTTTCCACAACATACCAGTGCATAGAGGGCCCGCTGTTTAATTAAGTACCTGCAAGCCACCAGTGTCTAAATTGTACTGCCCATCCTTCATAAATCAACCCTTGACTTTTTGTCATGTTGGTTCTTAGGAGCTAAACCCAAATGCATAACACCACGGAGACAGAGTAAAAGTTCAAACTGTTTATTGAGAAAAGCACAAATAAAGTTATGTTTGGACTGATGCTGGAACAGGTCCGTGACTGGTATCACTAGGTTCTCTGTAGAGAGGGACAGTTTGATTAGCCAGGAGTCAGGAGAGTCTTGTCAGAGCTTGGAACTGATCTGTACCTGATGGTGGTCAGACTGAGCGGTGAGGGAGGGAACCAGGTGGGTCCGGAGACTGAGGGTTCAGCAGAGAGCTTAGCAACAGCATGGCTTGGCTTCAGACTAGTGAGGTTCAGAGCTTGAGTGAGTCTCTCAGTTCTCTCCTTGAGAACTGGGATGTAGATTCAAACGGTGGATCTTCAGGTTTGGCTCACAGAGCAGGCGGGCAGGTTTTCAGACAATGAGCTCCTCCAGAGCTCCAGGCTTCAATCAGGTCTTCCTAGGGAGCAGAGAGGACAAAGATTGGTTAGGGTAGAGTTAACTCTTCAGAGCAGGCTGAGGTTCAGACATGCAGGCTTGGCTCAGGTTTGCTAACCATAACTGGTCTAACACTCCGGCACTGAAGGGAAGTTCAGCCGCTGCTTATAAAGCTGGTCTCCTGATGAGATGATCAGCTGCAGGTGTGCTGGTGGCTTCAGCTCAGGAGACCCAGGGCGCCCTCTGCTGGAGAAAGGTGGCA